ATCTACAACAGAAGAAAAAGACAACGAAGCAGCCGAACTAGCAATCCTCAACAACTTTTTAATTTTTACACCAGCAGCTAAAAGGTCTGTTTCATGAAACCACATCCCCAGCAATCGGCGCTTGTAGAATTGTAAAAGAGTTCATACACCACTAGTTGGCAGTGTTGTACATATATTGTACATGAATTGTCAGCTAGTAAGTGTCAAATTGAAGTTGCGCTTTAAAATTAGCTCCCGCTAATTTTTCTATGGCATAAGCGATTTTGAACTTGCAGACCTAAATATTTTAATAAGCACTTTAGCAATTGCAGAGCTAATTTTTGGATTAGCGCTGCCCACCACTAGTATTAACAATCTTAATACAATGTTTTTACAGTTATGCCTAAAATAATTTCAGAGACCAAATGAAGGGTGAGCTCTGATGTTTACTGTGTTAAAAACATTTAAAAAAGTTATAGATCAACTCTCATCAGATAAATGTGAATATGAATAGAACAAACAAAAGACAAATACCAGATAAAAGAAGTTTAGAASCGTCTGATTGTCCTTCAGCTCGTTCCCCTGGACGATGTACTGAACATTCACATCTGCATCTTTGTTACAAGGCAACCCGTCACTGATCTTCTTGAGCATCAGAAAACTTTTGATCTTGGAGTAAAAAGGGGACACAGACTGGTAGGCCGTCCCATAGACTGGTCTTCTTAAATTGGGCACAAAAGGTTCCGTGTCTGTTGTCTCGTTAGTTGATGCCTGTTGAAATGTGAGGTCAAAGGTCAAACATCTGATAACATTAAGCTTTAAATCTCAAACATAAACCAACATGAAATCATCCCAGTTAGAATAAAAGGCCACTGTGTGACCTCCTTCCATATGTTAACATCTTTTAACAGGAAATCTGTAGTTTTCATGTCTASTCAACAACAAGACTTGTTATATCAATGTTATTTGTATAAATCCAKAAAAGGTCCCACAGATCTACAGCTAAACCAGTCGACCACCAGGAACATGGACCATTTCCACTCATGTACTGTGGCAAAATCCAGTACAAAGCACAGTCTGGTTAGTGGAAACCATGTAACCTCCTGACAACAATGTCCAAACACTAACAGGCTTCCCTGCAAAAAAAAAAAACAAAAAAAAAAAACTCCAACTAACCCGCAGAGACACAGTGTCCTTCCAATAGGTAGTGTCCAGAGAAAACACAACCATGCCTTTCAGGTCCGTAGTGAGCGTGAGTTTCTGAGACTCTTCAACAAACAGGTAGACCACCTCATTGGACACTGGTTGMTTGTCTGGACCCACCAGTTTGATCTGCAAAACACAAAGTAACAAAAGGTAAGCTTTCAAGGTTTTAACAYCAAGTTCCTCGTTTCTCATTATTTTACTTCATTATTCTGAGCAGAGTACAAACGTTACATTATTAATGAGCTGAAGGAACTAAAGACTTCTGCATGCTCCATTCCAACTGTTGAAATCGACTCTGATTGGTTCCAAGTCATGGGTGTGTTTATGCWGAAAAGCATTCTGACTACAATGTTGACAATTTGCTCCAACAACTCTGTTTCCAGAAGCCGGTTTTCCACCAGCATGGACTGTTTTGAGGAGCAGAAATGTACAACTCATCCAGAAGGACAGAGACCAGCTAATGGAAGGAGCACAGGAGCTAACTGTCTGTCAGAAGGTGTGGCGCTCACTCCATGACACATTCATGACAGCCAAACAGAGATGGTGAGGAAGATGTGGGACTCTGGTGGGATGAAACCTGTTCCAGTGCTGTACACCACTCTAGGGCTGAAACGATTCGTCGAATAATTCGAGTAATTCGATTACAAAAAATACTTAAGGTAAATTTATCTGCCTCGAAGCTTCGTAAAAAATACATGTTGTTACAATCAGTGCACACACGTATGCTCACAAACACACACACACACGTGTGTTCAGATCCAGGTGTTTCTCAGGTACACTATGGCTGTGTCCAAAACAACAGGCCGGGTCCTCCGGAGGACCCAGACTACCCGGTCTAGGTGGGCCGGGTCCTTGGTAGACCGGGAAGACTGGAAAAAATAAGAAGAGTCTGTGAATTTGGACGGTCTAGCCTCCCCTCCACCCCGGCGTACGTCTTGTCACCTAGCAACTGTGACGATGCTAAACAAGCAAACTTAAATCAAAACTAGAAAAATATCAATACATTAGCATTATTAATAT